GATCTGAAGTCCGGGTACCATCAGATTGCAATCCGGCCCGAGGATCAACACAAAACCGCATTTCAAACCAGGTACGGTCTATACGAGTTTGTGGTGATGCCTTTTGGCCTTTGCAATGCTCTTGGCACCTTTCAGCACGCTATGAATCGGATTTTTCATGACTACTTGGATAAGTTTGTCGTCGTGTACCTCGATGACATACTTATTTTTAGTAAGACTGTCGAGGAGCACGTAGCACACTTAGACAAAGTTCTCAGTCTCCTGCGACAGCGCAAGTTCAAGATCAACGGTGAAAAGTGCGAGTTTGGCCGCACCCGTACCTTGTACTTGGGTCATGAGATCTCCGCGGAAGGGTTGAAGCCCGATGACGCGAAGGTGGCCAGCATTTGTGATTGGCCACGTCCTCAGTCCGTGACTGAGATGAGATCGTTCTTAGGAATGACAGGCTACTACAGGACTTTCGTTAAGAACTACAGCATAGTGGCCGCTCCTTTGACTGATCTGACCCGCCTTGACACCCCTTGGGAATGGACAGATGAGTGCGAGGCTGCTTTCAGACATCTGAAGCATGCATTGACGCACTATGAAGTCTTGAAGCTACCCGATCCTRATAAGCCATTTATAGTAACCACGGATGCTAGCCAATATGGCATTGGCGCCGTGCTTGCGCAGCAGGAGGGGTCAAAGTTGAGGCCAGTAGAGTACATGTCCAAGAAAATGCCGTCTCAGAAGTTGGCTAAGTCCACTTATGAGAAGGAGCTCTATGCGGTGTACAAGGCCCTCACCCATTGGAGACACTACCTCCTTGGGCGGTTCTTCATCCTCCGGACTGATCATCAGACCCTGAGATGGATGAAAACTCAGCCAGTACTCTCTGACGCTCTTAAGCGTTCGATCGAAGTCATTGAGCAATATGACTTTGACCCTCAGTATCTTAAAGGGGAGTACAACAAGGTTGTTGATGCCTTGTCGCGCAGACCGGATTTCTCAGGTGCGCTGATTACTGAATTCGGCCTGACGGACAATGTTACTCRGTCTTTGGTGGAAGCCTATCATCAGGACCAGTTTATGTCTGAGATCATACGCAGACTGGAGGCGAAGGATAAAAAGACCTCCGCCGAGTTTGAGTTGGTCAATGGATTGCTGTTCCTAGAGAAGGCAGGGAATAAACACTTGTGTGTTCCAAATAGCGAGTCTTTGCGTAGTTTGTTTTTTGGTGAGTGTCATGATGCCACCGGTCATTTTGGGTATAAGAAGACCGCAGCCAACTTGCTGCAGCGATTTTGGTGGCCCACGATGATGCGAGATGCACACCTGTATGTGGAGACTTGTCAAGTTTGTCAACGGGACAAGCTCCGTACTCAAGCTCCTCTCGGGCTGCTTAAGCCCCTTCCGATTCCGGAAAGGCCAGGTGAAAGCTTGTCCATGGACTTCATGGATACGCTGATCACCAGCAAGAGTGGAATGAGGCAGATCTTCGTCATCGTGGATAGATTTAGTAAGTATGCTAGATTAATAACCATGCCGGAAACAGCAAAGACTGAGTACGTAATCAAACTGTTCAAGGAGAACTGGGTCAGAGACTTTGGACTACCAAAGTCTATTGTTAGTGACAGAGACGTACGGTTCACTAGTGAACTGTGGAAAGCCGCTGCAGCTGAACAGGGAACTCAGCTGCAGATGACTTCTGGAAGCCATCCAGAAGCTAATGGCCAGGCGGAGCAGATGAACCGCACTGTGCATCACCTGTTGAGGCACTACATCAAGCCTAACCAGGTGGACTGGGACGAAAAGCTTGCTTTAGTTGCCAGTCTGTATAACAATGCTGTACATAGTGCTACGGGGGTGAGTCCTAACAGTCTGCAACTAACGTTTAAGCCTAGACTGCCCTTAGACTTTCTACTACCTGACAATCAGCCAGACACTGCACCCGGCACTCTAGAGTTTGCCTATCGTTATGAACAGAAGATGCAGGAGGCTGTAGAACACATGCAGAAGGCACAGTCTGCAATGATT